TTAAACAGAGCTTGAAGAGATGGGTGATGAGGTAATGGTAGCCGAGCTTGACGTATTTCATGTTGACGCTCTGTAAGAAATTCGGAAGCTTTCGTGAGGCGTCCTCCGTCCGGATCTGTACGGATCCGCCATTGACTGGTGCTTGAGCTTCCATGGCGGGTTTTTGGAGGGATAAAAACGTAAACTTTCGACGAGGGTGGAGGAGTATTGTGTGAAATGAGAGATCGGAAGAGATTGAAACAAGGGAGAAAGGGTTAAGTGGGTTTGATACAAGTGTAAGAAGACGCCATTGTTGATGAACACGTATGAACGGGACGTGTAGAGAGAAACGTAATCTGCCTAAAGGCTGTGTTTTTATGATTCAGAGAGAGAGAGAGAGAAGAAGAAAAAGAAAAAAAGTGTTCTCTTTCTTTAGTATTAGATTTGTTCTGCTGTTGTTCTGTTGTTTCTGAACATTTGTTGAGTCGTCTCTGTGTGTGTGGTGTATATATATAGCAGAAAAGGTATAAATCATTCACGGAATCAGAAGAAACAAAAAGATCTTTATGGTTGAAGGGTAAATGTGTGATTTTTAAAAATGAAGGGTGAGATATAAGGCTGGCATATAGTTGAGGGTCAAGTCGAAGTAGAACGGAAAATGTTTATTAAATTTGCCAACTCATTGTGTTTTGGGTTATTAAAACGACTACTTAGCCAGTTAGCTCGCTTTAATTTTAACATTTTAAAACCTTTTTGTGAGTTTTTTTTTTTTTTTTTGGTATAAAACATTTCACATAGTTATGAGCTTTTGGTTGACTAGTCTTGTAAAGACTGCGGTTCTGTGATGGTTTTTAATGGCCCAAAGTTATGAGCTTTCCCCTTGTGACTATCGTGTGTTTTTTAGCTTTTGTTTTTCACTAGATTATTTGTCTGAAAAAGATAGGAAAATAATTTTCAGAAAATGACCTTTTATGCATGCTGCTGCTATAAGTGTCATGGTATAGAGATATTTCTTTTTTAAACCGGCAATATCATGTTTGTTAGGGGGTGGTGGACAATCCGGTTTATAATTTGGTTTTGTTTCGGATTTTCTAGTTTGGATATGATATGGTTCGATTGTTTGATTTAAGTCCTGTTTAGCTTACCTTGATTTGTTTGATATGGTTCACTTTGTTTTGAAAGAAAACTTAACCAAAATTTATGTGATTTAGACTATAGTTTTCATATTTTACGTATACCAAATCGACTCAAAATCACTAAATGTCTGAATCTGTGTCGTTGGTGACAACTGACAAGCAATCTCCACACCACACTGAACTAAATGCATTTCAATGCGTTTTGGATTTTGTGATTAAACGACATTCGTTAGAGGTCCCCAGCCTAATAGCTATCAAACACACACAAATCTCCTGCAATTTTCTCTCTATTTGATTCCATAAAATTTGGTAATCTAATTTTATTTAGAGGTGGACAATCCGATTTATAGTTTGGTTTTGTTTCGGGTTTTTTTTTTTTTTTTTTTTTTGTGGATATGATATCGGTTCGATGGTTTGATCATAAAAAGATCATGCATTTGATTGTGTGTTTGTTACTTTATTTTAGCAGTTCTGTTTTATTAGGTTCCACTTTTATATATACTGGTCCTACTTAAATAAATCTCTTATATTAAAGCTATGGTCCTATATGGATAATGAGATTAAAATACAATGTCCCGATCAGTTTCGTAGGTGAAAAGCGATTCACCCTAAACTAAATGCATTTCAACGTGCGTTAGATTTTGTGATTAACCGACTTTTGTTAGAGGTCCAAATCTATAATAGCTTTAAAAACACACAAACCTCTCTGCACTTTTATCTCTATTTGATTCCATAAGCATTAAGCGATGATGCTTATATACGCAAAATTAAAAGAAACTAGCTACGAGTGAGTGAGAATACAATCCCAATAATTTAGGATAAACAAAGACAACTTACGAACTCGGGGTTGGTTTAACCGGGTTTTCCGATTGTTTCTTATCAGCTTTCTATCTGCCTCGGTTAAACGGACAAAACCGGAATCAAGCTCAAAGCGTCGAACAGATGAAGTGTTGCATGTTCTCTGACAAGACAAGAGTCTGACTGAAAAATTGAAAGGAGAGAGAGTTGTATTTGTACATAACATTGCCGAAATTTCAGCTGTGATGGATGCGACGTGGGATTTGAAATGCATTATCATTATCACATCAAAACATAAAAAGAAAAACAAATGATGAGAAGCAAGGACAAGCATCTTTAAAGAATGTTCTCTTTTCTAGTGGTTAATGGTTATTCTATTCGTATCTGAACAGGATGACAAGATTCTTACTTGACCAAGTCATGTTTTTGAAGTAACTCTTCCCCTTTTTACGTCTGCAATAAATGTTATCCATGTCCATCTTTGGCCTTCTTATTTTAATTTATTTGTTGAGATTCTCTTTCTCAATTAAGCCGTTTCCAATTATTATTATACCAGTTGACTAGACAGTAGACACATTGAGTTTTGAATTGAATGGTAAGACATATCATTGCCCGATTTATATTCGACCAACTCTCCAACCGTTCTCAACTAAATGTCTTTATGGAGAACATCAAAGCAAGATACACCATATCAGCTTGTTTTAATGACACTATCGTGCAACGTTGCAAATATTACAACAACAATTCATGGTTAAGATAATCAACCAAGAGAATATCAATATCCCTAGATTAGGAGTTGCATAACAAAGGCTGAAAGACAAAAGTTCGTGTGGTTCGTGATGTATTTTGTTTTTGTTATTTTTTAGGGTAGTAAATTTAAAAGAGTTATAGGCATATAATTCAACTTATTATCTAAGCATGACGAAGTATATATACTAAGTGAGAGAGTCTTTAAAAAGAACAAGATTCATCTTCAGAAAGAGAATTCTAAGAGAAACGCTGAAACTGAAGTCTACGGCAAAGCAATAATGAGAAGTAACTCAAAACTCCATGGGAGATTCCATTATGGAACAGTCCGAGACATAAGACTTGTGATCAGTGTTGATAGTTTTGAACACTGTTAATTGGAATTTGAAAGCTCAGTAATCCATCTCTAAGCAATCTTGATGATTTGTAGAAATCTTTCGTAGTGTCTCTGCTTTTTGTATTACAAGCAATTGTTTCTCTTCCTTGTCTATTTATTCCTCAACCACATAACGGTCACGAAGAAGTTATTAAATTATTTGCATATTGTAATTTCAATACATCTTCGTTAAATCAACTTTGAAGATGGTTGAAAAATTAAATGGTGTAAGGAATCTTCATATTGCATTATTACCCGACTTCCAAAATGAAACTACTAACCAAAAACAAATTATAAAAAGGACATTAACTAAGTGACCCACGAGTGGAGAAAAAGGTTAGCGTGAGACACAGTAAAGGAATGCTGTATCTGTGTTTACACTCCACGGAGATATAGCCGACGATCATGGAGCTTGGAGACAGAGCACACAAGCAGACGTAACAGAGCAATGACTGAATCAGTTTGCTTGGTGTCAAAGCACCCAACATTTTAATTTCCTTTTTATGTTAATGGTAAAACTATTAGCATCTCTAAGGAATATTCCCTTATGGTTAATATTATTGTTATTATCTTCTGAACAAGAGAAGAGTCTTACTTGACTAAGTCATGTTTTTGAAGTTACTTTTTTGTGGTTTGAAGCTAAATGACGCTCACGTTTATCTTTAAGCTTCATTTCCATCGGTTGACCAGACAAAGTACCTTTTCATTTCTTCCTGCTTATTCGTTTTTGCAAGTTTATGATCTTATCCTCTCTCCTTCTTAACTCCAATGGATTCTTCGTCTTTATCTCTTCCATCTTCTTTATCTCGCAACTGGAAACACCATGTATTCCCAAGCTTCCATGGGCCAGATGTCCGCAAAGATTTCCTCAGCTACATATTGAAGGAGTTTAGAAGTAAGGGAATTGACCCGTTCATTGACAATGATATAGAGAGGAGCAAGTCGATAGGTCCTGAGCTCATAGAAGCTATTAGAGGATCAAAGATCGCTATTGTCTTGCTCTCGATGAACTACCCTTCCTCGACATGGTGCCTAGACGAATTGGTGGAGATCATGAAGTGCAGAGAAGATTTGGGTCAAATAGTGATGCCCATCTTCTACAAACTAAATCCAACTGACGTAAAGAAGCAGACCGGAAGTTTTGGGAAGGTTTTCGAGAAACATTGTGAAGGTAAAACAAAAGAAAACATTGAGAGATGGAGACAAGTTTTGGTGGAAGTGGGGAAAATTGCTGGTTACCATTCATGCAACTGGTAAGTCCTTTTGACTACTAATTACAATATTTTCTAAGACATCAAACTGTATATATATTTGTTGCTTTTAACAATATCCACCCAAGAATTTTATCTGTTTCTATTCATGTCTTTTAAACATGATGATCAGGGATGATGAAGCAGCCATGGTCGAAAAAATTGCTATTGATATTTCAAACAAGTTGAATATTTTAACGTCATCAAGTGATTTCGACCACTTTGTTGGGATGGAAGCTCATATGGAAAAGATGGAATCGTTTTTAAGCCTAGATATGGATGAAGTGAGGATGATAGGGATTTGGGGTCCTCCTGGGATTGGTAAGACCACCATTGCCAGATTTCTATTTCATCAACTCTCCAACCGTTTTCAACTAAGTGTCTTTATGGAGAACATCAAAACAAGATACACCATACCAGCTTGTTCTGATGACTATCCTGCAAAGTTGCAATTACAACAACAATTTATGTCTAAGATAATCAACCAAGAGGATTTCAAAATCGCAAACTTAGGGATTGCACAACAAAGGTTGCAAGATAAAAAAGTTCTTGTGGTTCTTGATGACGTTGATCAGTTAGTACAGTTGGATGCCATGGCGAAAGAAACTTGTTGGTTTGGTCCTGGAAGTCGGATTATCATCACAACTCAATATCAAAATGTTTTAAGGGCACACAGAATCAACCATATTTACAAAGTTGATTTTCCATCAACTAATGAGGCTTTTCAAATCTTTTGTACGTATGCTTTTGGTCAAAAGTCCCCTAAAGAAGGTTTTGGAGAGCTTGCATGGGAAGTTACATACCTTTCCAGCAAACTTCCTCTGGGATTAAAGCTTATGGGCTCCTACTTCCGAGGAATGTCCACGCA